ACTAGGGTTTCTGCCTAGGTCAAGCCTCAAAGCCAGAGCATTCAAAAGTGTAATCTGTCGTCCTAGCCCTAGGGTTTTGGGTTTTATACTTTTGTGTTATGGGCTTCGTGGGCCCCGCGATTATCGAGATCCCCCTTAACCGTTCTTATCTCGAAGCCCTGGGGGTGAGCGGTGGTTAGTCAAGTCGGGATTTTACCGACAAGGCCGCTACAAGGAGACCTGTCGGGAAAACGGCGAATGCCCTCGTGGGTGCATGTAATTGGGTTAGAGCCGAGTTGTTGCATGTTGTGACGGTCCAGACGGGTATTAGGCGAGTGGGGGGTCTAATCGGAATTTTACCGGGAAGGTACACTTGCCTTCCAGCCCTGAGCCGATAAGGCGAGAGGGCTTGTGGCCTGGAAGACCAGTCAGATATTAGACGAGTGGGGGGTCTAGTCGGAATTTTACCGGGAAGGTACAATTACCAACGACTTTTGTTTCACAACGGCCAATATATTCAAGTTTCTTGTAGCAAGTAAACAAGGTCGATTGATTTTATATATATAAATTATTTTTTAAGAAATTATTTTGCCAACTTTGACATTCGGTGTTATTTGATCATGTCCATGTATCTAAAGTTACTCACAAGTGAAAATGTTTGATTAATTTGTAAAAATAAAAACAATAAATATAGACTATATTAATTTTTTTATTTTATTTAACTGTAAAAAATAAAAGCAAAGTGAGCACGTACTTTGTTAAGTAATTATATTAGTATTGATTAGCTTTTAATTTTGACTATTTATATGATTTTATGTTAAACAATTAATTTAGTAGTGTTTACCGTTCATATATACGTTCTTAAAATAAGAATTGTAAATTGTTGTCGTTATCTCTTTCTCACATGAACATGTATATAAATTATCTTCCAAGCTAAGTAGTAAAATGTAACTTAACATGATAACATAAATTCTATAAGTATGCAGACTAAGCAACATATAACCTTGTTAAGAAAAACAAAAAAGAAAGAAATGAAGGGAAATTGCTGAGAAATAATAGAAGAGAATATGTAGAATAATAACACGAATATATAAATTAAATTTTAATGGTATTATTATCAAGGTAACTAATGAGAAGAAGAGGGAAAGAAATTAACTGAAATACCTCTTGAATGAGC